GGGCCTAGACCGGACGACGCGGGGAAAGGGGGGAGGAGCAGGCCCGATCGGGTCGCACCCCCTCGCGTTCGATGGGGCCCCCGCTGGCCCCAGGCCCCCCGCTCGACTAAGCTCGACCTGAGGTCCCGGCACCTGGGGGGCAGGATCCGAGCCCAGCGACAACGGTTGATCCCGCGCGTCGTCTGGCGGAAGACCCTCTCGCTGGACGTCCACGGCAGTGGCTCGACGAGCCTGCGCCCGTGGCAGAAGCTCTGACCACTGGGGGTCCTGCGCCACATGACTACCGAATTCCTCCTCTGGACTCGCGTGGCGCACTTGCTCCTGGGAGCATTTCCACAGCCTGGCCCGGACTGCAACCCAAACCGCCCCCTTGTCGGCAACCACCACGACCCCGGGACCCGCCCAGGCGCCCCGCCTGCGACCCAGCGAGTCCGCCCGCAACCCAGCCTTGGTCAGTCGGCGCCGCGCGACAACCCACTGGCCTGGACTGAAGACCGCCTGCGTCGGACCTCGAGCCTTACTCGCTCTGTGAAGCCTGTCCCGGGCAGCGACCTCCATCGCCGATCGGCGAGCAACATCTCGGACTCTCTGAGAGCGGGCGAACTCAGCTCCGGCCGAGTCTGGCTCGGTGGCAGGTCGCAGACAATCCTGTTACCTGGGAAGTCCCATGGTCATCGGACAGCATTTCGCGCGGCAGCCCGGGGTTTTCCTTGAAGACCAGCTGCGTCGGGGAGAAACCTCGCCGATGCAGAAACTGTTTTTGTTGAGCACAGAGCTCGTCGAACTCCTGGAGGCCCCCCTGATGAGCGGCCCCCGCTTCCACCCCCTCCTCGACTCGTTCTTTGATCCAGCCGCCGCGGCGTTCTACGCGCCCATTCTGCAAAGGGGAGTTGGCGTCGCACAGACGATGCAACGCCCCCCGCTGTTCGAGACCGCGCGCGAGCCTATCCTCGAACTCCGGGCCCCCGTCAGACAGAAGTGGGGGGGCCCAAATTGCCTGATCCAGGCCGACGCAAAGGCGCGCCGCGCGCAGGGCGCTCTGGGCTCTTATTCGAACACGTACCTGGAGGTTGGATCCATGATCCACGATGTTGAGATACGGCGCCGTCTTGTCCTCGAACGGAAGATAAAATAGGTCCACCCCCGCTATGTGGTTGAAGCGGGAGGCGCGGGGAAGGGCTACCCGTCGGCGGTTGCTCGAGCGGGCCCTCTCCGCGCACTCGGAGCACTTGAACGAGCCCCCAATCCATCTCAAGATCTGGATCCCCGCGCCGCCAGCTCTGAGGGCCCTGAGAAATTCTCGGTTACAGGGATGTCCCATGTTAGCGTGGAGACGGAAAACCAGACAGACGTTTCTCTTCCTCCGTGGGTTCGGGATGAGGCTCGGTGGCCCGGGCGCCTCCGAGAGGGCGAGTCTCCGGCACATCTTCCTCGTCGTCGTCGCTGCCCTCGGGGTTCCGAGTCCTCGACCCCCGGCGAGCCCCGCTCACCGCCCTCGGGAGACCCGCCCTCCTCAAACTGGGCCCAGGTGGCGGGGCAGCTTCGGCGAGGCCCACTCCATTCCTCCGTCGCCGCGCGGGCCGCCGCTTCAGCAAACGCTGGCGGATGCACCTTGGCCCGAACGGTCATGCTCTTGCCCTGCAAAATCACGCGACGGTGGTTCCCCGAACAGAAGCGCTGGTCTGGAATCTCCTGGAGCCTGGGATGGTTCGTCGGGGTCCTGGTCGGCTCGGCTTCTTGTTGAGCCCGTCCTTAGTGACGCGCGAACCGAAAGTGCGCATATCTACTCTAGCGCGCCGAACGCCGGGCACGCGGGCCACCGGCTCGACAACCCTAGCTGCCCATCAGCCCGCAAACAGAGGGTGCTCGAATGCAAAATACCGACCTTTGCGTACCTGATGTGCGGAGATACGCATGCTCGAGACCAAATCGCCCGCCCCGTCTGCGAACGCCTCCTTCCACTTGAGCGGGCCCCGAGAGGCCTCACTTATCCTGCCGACGAGGGAGAATCAAGGCCATGCAGGGCGGACAGAGCCAGACCAATCCTGGATTCTCTTTGTCGATAGCTCCCCACAGACGCCTCCGGCAGCCAGGGCCCCAGCCGCGCTGAACATCCCAACTGGCTTGCTGGCCAAGAAGACCCCCGCGACGCCGGGCCCGAGGGGCCACCCGGGGAGGAGAGAAAACCTCCATGAAGGCCGCGCCCCCTTGGATGAGGTCGCCGGGGAAGCTCTCGTCGCGCCCCCGCGTGAGTCGACGGCTGCTCGAGCCATGGCCCCCAGGTGCTCCCGGACTCGCGAGGGGCACGCCAGCTCCGTGTCATCGTCGGCACAATCGCCGAGCCACCAGCCGACCCCCTCAAACTCGGGCGGGACCTGTCCCGCCGCTCCGCGCCTCGCCACGACATCTCCGCCCTGTGGCTCGAAGCGGCCCCTGCCCCGCAATTGCCGGAGTCGCACCGGAGGTGCAGATGGGAAACGAGAGGACGGAGGTGGAGGGAGCGTCGGATGGGTCGCGATGTCCCGCGCGCTGCCTGTCAGAGGCCTGGCGCCTGCCGCCGGAGAAGGCTGCGGCCAGTCCCAGCAGATGGTCCTTCGACCTCTATGCCGTCCTGTTTAAACGTGGACGCAGCTCTAAGCTTCGCGCTCGAGATCGCTCAGCAGCTCGCAACCGGAGCTGATCGCATTGTCATCTGGAATGCCCAGGCTGAGTCCCACAGTGGTCACCAAGGTCATGGTCGTCGTCGGCGTAGTCTTGTCGCCTGGCGGCTCGCTCGGCTGAGGCGGTTGGGGCGGGCGTCGCTGCCCTTGGCCCGCTGTGCCTGCCTGCGGCGCCGATCGCCACTCCCACTGCTGTCTCCGCCGCCCGTCCATGGATCGCCCCGTTGCCATCCCTGACTGCTCTGCTGGTCGGTGTCGAGCACATGCGCGATCGACGACACCGACGCCCCGATGTTGACAATCATGTAGCCCAACTGGCCCTCTCGAGGTTGGACGCCGTGTGGGACATGACGTTGATCGACTCCTGCCGCGTAGCGAGGCTCTCGGCGAAACTCTCGAACGACCCCAGAATGTGGCGGATCTGCTGGATCCATTGCTAGATATGTTGGAGGCCTTCCTGCATCTGGGTCGGTGCTTCCGTGGCTGCTATGGCCACGGCACTCATCTGGTCGAGTTCCGATTGGACCTGCCCAAGAGCTCGAAACCCTTCGGGCACAGTGCTCAGCTGCCACTGCAGAGCTTGGAGGAGACCATGCAGCTGGTTGACCGTAGTCAGGGCCGCGCCCCCGGCGCGGAAGGCCGGGTCCTCCTGTAGGTACTCGAGCATCCTCTGGGAGGTGATCGCCGCCTGCAGCGCTGCATCTGCTGCCGTGGGCAATGGTGGCGCCTCGCCGTCCTGCCCCGTTTGCTGGCCCCGTGGAATCCACGCGAGCCTCGCTTGACACAGAGTGCACCGAGAGCCAGAGCCGTTTTGATTCCCGGAGTAGCGCACCGCCCTCGGAGGATGGGGACAGAAGGGGCGGTGTCTTCGGCGGCGGCTGGCTGCCCTTCGACCCCAGTGCTCCCGCTGGTGAAGACTATGGCGCCGGAGGAAGCTTCGTCGCCGACGGTCCCACCAGGACTCCTGGCGCTACTCCCGTCGGCATCGCCTTTGGAGGGACTGGCCGACCTCCTGCTGCCGTGACGTCCGGAGGCATCCCGCCGGGCGCTGGAGGAATGGCTCCTGCCTGCGCCATCGCCACCGCGGCTGCGACTGCCCCGGCTGGCGCGCTCGCTGGCATCAGCGGCTGCACCGGAGGCCCGGCCGCGCCCCGCGGCGCCGGCCTCGCCGGCCCCGATCTCGATGCTGTTCCCGTTGCTGCCGTCGCTGCCGAGGAGGGTCCGGCTGTGCCCTGCTACGTCGGATCCGATGGTGCTGGCAGCCCTGCTTGTGCCGCTGCAAGGGCCCCACTGTGGCTGGCCCCCGCTGCTGCTGACGCCATGCTCACGTCTTTGCCTGGTCCGGCGACGTCCCCTGGAGACTGCTCGAATGACTCCGATGATACGTCCAGGAATTCCTCGGTCGCCTTCTTGGCGGCCAGAGGCTCTCCTTTCTTCTTCCCGGCTAAGCCGAGAACGAACAACATCGTGGTTGCCACGGCACGAAGAATACTCCTCACCCTGAGTACCAGTTGACACGGACTGTGGTCGAAACCTGAAGCACTGTCGATAGCTGAAGCTCTAGCCGATGGCTACGGCAATGACCAGAACTGCCTGGATGATCGCCTCGGCTCCCCTCTGACCCGCACGGCCTAAGAAATCAAGAGCTCCCTGGGTCCTGGCCTTCAACCTCGACTGCCCGCGCCCATCGTCGGTCTCCTTGTGCACCTCATTCAAGGCCTTAGCACTTTCCCGGGATCCTAAGGCCGTTGCTGATTCCTGCGACGGGAAAGCCCGCCCCAGTTGGATATCGCGGTTCGTTTGACCCGCGGGGCCCACGGGGCCTTTCGACTCCCCAGCGCGCGACCAGCAGCTTTGCGAGGCGCGAGGTGAATCTGAGGAACGGGCGAGAGCTGAGGCACAAGCAGAGCACGAACAGCGCATTACTCTGCCACCGACCGTTTCGCTCGTGACCCATTGCTCTGGACGTGGAAAACGCCCTCGTGCGTGATAGATACCCGGACTGCTTCTTGGCATACCTCCGTGCTTCGCACCAGTTCTTACAAGACCAAAAAGTCTGACCATTTCTGGTCCCAATGCTTTGACAGCCGATGCGATACGCGTGACAGTGCGGCCCGCTGCTCGACGACGCCAAGCTCGACGATGCCAGGCAGGCTCGGCCTGGCAGTGCTTCGCCGTGGGGCGATGCGCCTACATGAGGGCGGGCGCGCGGGGTCGCGGGGGCGCCGTGCCCCGCTCGATCAGGGCGACGCCTTAGGCCAAGATGGCCACGGACTCCTCCTCCTCCTCCTCCTCCTCCTCCTCCTCCTCCTCCTCCACCTGCTGGGAAGGCCCCCGATCCTCGCCCCACATGTCGTGGCAGCCCCCGGCGCCGGCGGCGGGCACGAGCCTCGCGTGCGGCTGTCGACTCTCCGCCGCGCACGCGGCCCAGGTTGGCTCCTGCCGGGAAGTGCGGCCGGGAAGGGCACGAATTCGGTGGCAACTCATGGGATGGAATGGGAGGCTCTCGAGAGCCTCCCATGCCATCTTGCTGGCTCTTTCAAACCGACCTAGCCGACGCCAGTCGACACACATCGACGCTAATCGACGGCAGGTCAATGCTACTCGACGCTACATCGGCGTTTTCTTCACCGACGACCAGACGCTACCGCACGCTAATTCACTCTAAAGATGGAATCTCGAGGACATACAAGGCTTCCATCAACAGCTGCGAAGCGCGACGCGAGGGAGGGGTGGCCTTCTTTCGAGGATGGAGAAGGCACCCTTTTGCAAAACGCCCTTCAGAGAAAACTGCCAGGGGCACTCCGCGTGCGCACGGCACCGCATTTCGAGTGGACCCCAGCAGGGTAGCAAATCGACATCCGAAAACAACCGAATATATCTGGCGAAACGCATGTCGACTAGCGGAACAGACTGGGACCTGCACCAATACACTCGGATGCAGGCGTCGAGAGAACAGGTGCAGATTTCCTCAAGGGACTTGCCTGAGCGGGCGTTCTCTCAATCCCCGGTTCCTAAAACGGGGGGGGAGACGTTCCCACTCCTACATGAGAGGCTCCTGCCTTCTCAGAAGTCAACCCCGCGTGCGCGCCGCCGAGGCTCCTCGGATCCGGGCTCGAAGGTTTCGCGCGCGTCGGAGCTTTTTGGGCCTCTGGGGGGCGGCTCGCCGCCGCGGCCGGATTCCACCAGACAGCCTGACCACAAATGCACGCCTGGAAATCCAGATGCTGGGATGTCTGGTTGTCCAGATCCGTGCGTTTTTGCTGAACTTCTGCTCCCCGCGGCACCTTTGGGCCGCCCCAGGGCCATCGAAAGAGAATCTGGGGCGAAAGACCGCACCCAGGGAGTGGGTCGAGAGCCCTGGAGCCCACGACGTCGGAACATCTGCCCGTCGGAAGTCGGGGGAGGCTCCTCGTCGCCACGGCAGACTTCCCTTCCAAACCCTGGCCAGGACGCACCCCTGGCGAGGTCCTGCGGCGGGCGGGCTTTGGCCTCGGGAGGTCCGCGCGGGACGTCTCAGGTCGGCGCTGGGCCGCCCCCCTGCGCGCTGCACGGCGCATCCAGTGCAGCCCGCACCGCCCTGGGATCTCGTCGGCCCTGGCTGCCCCATCAGTGGGCGCTGCCGGGGTCCGCTGGGGGCCCCCGCGGCACGGGGCGCCCCCCCCTGTTCTTGCCGTTCTGCGGTCGAGGGCGGCACCGGCTCGACGCCCAAGGCTGCCCTGTGCCTGGGCTTCCTCGCGCTCATGGAGCCTGGTTGCGCCAATGCTGCTCATCCTGCTGCTAATCCTGCGCGCCGCGCGCTGCGCCCGCTGGGGAGAGGTTTGGGGACGGGGGGGGGGGGGCAACAACGCCGACCAAAGAAATTCTCGCAGGCCGCAGTGCTTGTGCCGCTTTCTGGCCCCCGACCTGCTGCGTCGTGCGCTGGGTCCCCGTGAGCTCGATCTCGTCCGCGGTCCTCTTCGGCAAGGGGCAGAACCGGACAGAGTCGAATCGGAACATCGGACCGACCCTTGGGACAAAATACATCGGACCAGCAAACAAATCGGAAGGCCACGAAGTCGGCGCCTGGTGGCCCGAGCCGAGGCCTGCACGCGGAGATCCAGACCGAAGCTGGAACCCGAAGTGGAGAACCGACATCGAAGCCCTCGAAGTCGATTCGAATGGAGTCGACACCATGAAAATGGCTCCTGGAGTCGGCCACGGGCGCGCCCCCCAGGCCCTCGGTAGGCATCGCCCCGCGCTGCGCGCCCTGGGGGAGGGGCAGGCCACCTTCTCGGGTGCCACGCCGGCGCCCCCCAGCCGTGCGCCCTGGAGCCAACCTGCGGAGAGGCCTCCGCCTACATCGCTCGGAAACAGGCCGCGAGCTCTAACAACTTGGAGAAAGCCAAGGGCGCCGCCTCGTGGTCATTTTCGGCCTCTGGGGGCCCTTGGAAGGCCCCAGGGCCGTCAGCAGAACTGAACTCCACTCAGGTTGGAAAGCTGTCCCCGAAGAAAATTTCGGGACATCTGTGGGTCTCTTTAAGAGCATCCGCAACTCATCGCGCGGGAGCGTGTGTGTGTGTGTGTGTGTGCGTGCGTGTGTGTGTGTGTGTGTGTGTGTGTGTGTGTGTGTGTGTGTGTGTGTGTGTGTGTGTGTGTGTGTGTGTGCGTGAGTATGTATTCACGTGTGTGTGTATATATATACACACATATTCAAGACTGCAGTGGCGCTTCGCGCCATGCACCTTGGTCCTTGAAGTTTGGTTTGCAGGCGGAATGGCAGGAAGGTCAAGCCGACAATTTTGCGATAACTCCTGGTTGCCTTTTCCGGCATCGCCGCTATAATGATGTTATTCGTTATCCTTCCTCCATGCTTATTGTTCCTTATTTTCGCCATACCCTGCGCATTCTCCACATCCTCCTCAGCTCTTTTTTGCGGAAGCTCCTCCTTGGAGAGCCTCTAGGGGCCTCACAAAACTTGTTTCGGGCTTTCTTAAGGCCTTCTGGAGGCCGCCTGGGCGTATTCTGGGGGCCTCCGGGGGCTTCCTCGGGCCACCCTGCCTCCAACCGCCGTCTCCCTGAACGACCGAATCACGATTTGGAATTTTTCGGAAGGTTTCTTTGGGCCACATTGGGCCGCCATGGGGCTCTCTGAGGGCCATCTTGGACCCGTGTTGTGCCGTTTTGGGGCTCTCTTGGACTGCCTGGAAGCCCTTTCGGATGGTTGTGGGGCGATTTGGGAGCCTCACAGGCGGCTTCGGACGCCCAGAAGACCGCCGTCTTGGAGCGTCGGGAAGCCGAAAAGAGGAGAACCCCAAAATTCACCAAAAACCTAAAGAAAATCATTGATGTTTGCCTCGGGGGGCCTTCTTGGGAGTGCTCTTGGAGGCCTCTTTGGGGCCGTCCTGGAGGCCTCTTGGGCCATCTTGAGGTCACGTCGGTCCCTCTTGGAGCGCTCTTGTGCTGTCTTGGGGGTCTCTGGGACGTCTCCGATGACCCCCCTGATCGCCCTAAGTGTGCTGGGAAGGCTTGGCAAAACGCCTTGCGAGGCCCGGTGGCCGCTTCGAGGCCCGTCCGGAGGGCCCCAAAGCCCCAGGTCCCGGGAGTCCGGTTTTGGGGGGGGGGGGGATGGGTTTTCCCCCCGCCCGGGCTTATAAAAATATAGGAAGAGGAATATACAGGTATGTACACGTCCATGTATGCATACATACACACAGTGAATGCAAAAACAGACCCTGGCAGTCCCGAGGGTGACGCAGGTCGGCTTGCCATGCCCGCCCGCGGCCGTGCGGATCGGCACCGTTGTGTTCCCTGCCCCTGCCCATCGTCAGGACTGGCGTCTCCAATGCTGAGAGCTGCTTCCCGCGGCGGTCAAAGATTTCAGGCTCCCCGAGGCGCGGACGTCGAACAACGATGAGAACGAGTAAATATGGTAGAATACGGGTTGGCAGCGTCGTTTTCCTCGCCCCTGCCCCCCCAAGAGGCTCCTAACAGAGACGCCTATGTAGGTCCCAAGAGACCCCGAAGTGGGCCAAAAGAAGCTCGCATCCTAGGAACCCGCGGTGTTTCCCACCCACGTTCCCACTGGTAGGACTAATGCAACCGAAATGATGTCGGAATGCCAACACTGGAGCACTCATACCTCGAATGGAGGAGGGGCTGACGAGGATACCCGAAACGTCTGACCGTTTTGCCAATCGCTCGCAACTTATGCAAGCTTAATGCGTTCCGTCCTGCCCTGCACAGGGCGACTCGGCTTTGCCAAGCCCGTCTGCGTTGGGTCTTGTTGATCGAATTCACTAGACCGTGCAGACACATTTGTTCCTTCCTACCCATGATCCCTGGCCTAGTAGTCACAGAACGCCAACCAGATCTCACCCCCATTGTTGCCAGGATAGCCCTGGAAACCCAGACTTCTCATCCTGTCCTCCTCAAAGCGCGAATTCTTCATCGCCCCGAACTGCTCTTCGTATATTCGCTGCGAATGTGCCTGACTGCTTCGCCTGAAGGCCTGATCGAGCATCTCGGGGCCGATGGCCACCGTGCTTCGGAAGAGGTTGCCCCCCATAATGCCTCGCATCTCGACGATAAAGTCGCTGCTGTTGATCGTCTCGATGTTGAGCTTGAAGCACTCCCTGACGTAGTACACGTTCGAGACCATCAGCCCCTCCTCGGCAGGTCGCGTCTTCTCAGAGCGCTTAAGCTCGTCGCCCGCATACGTCAAGTGCACGGTCAGCTCGAAAGGCAGAGTGGCGCGGTTGATGGCGCGCGGTGATGCCATGCAGCCTACTGGACCAGATCCACCTCCGAACAGCCATCCTGGCCAAGACGTTCCCCCACCGCCTCCATCAGCCAAACCCAAACTGCCTCTGCCGTCGTCCCCTGGGACTCCCCTTGGCTCCACCTTCCACACGCACACCTGGAACTCGTGGCGGTCCGAGCCGCCAAGCAAGGAGAACCGAGGCAACCAGTCGTGCAACCCCAAAAAATCCCCTATCTTCTGCCGGAAGCAGAACGCGACGACAGCCGCGACCAGGAACGTGACGAACACGATGTGCTCGGTGTCCCTGTCCCTCATCGCAATCGCAGCGTCCTTCTCCTCCGCAGTGGTCATTGCGCTGGTCTCCCACTCGCCGTTGAACGGGTGGACAACCATGTCCCGAGCCGACTGCATCGAATAACCGACGAGCTCAGGAAGCTCCAATGATGCCAACTCGCCCGTGGACTGGACGAGAGCAATGGTCCACAGGGGTAGCGTGCACGCCCAGAGCCACTGCCAGCACGCGCTGTTAGGCAGCCCTGTCAGGCGGCCGTGGAGCCACTGAAAAATGCCCATGCCAACTAGCACCCACAAATACACGAGCTTGCCAGTTCCTGACTCGCGGCTCTCCGTCAGCACGCAGGTGCCGAAGGTGCAGGGCAGCTTGAAATGAACCTCGTGCCCGCCTATGCCAAACTTTGTCAGCGGGTATACGTGGGGCAAAAACGGGTCCCGTCGGTGATGCAGGCAGTACGCACGGAGCAGCAAATTGTGCAATGAATCCCCATTGCTCCAAGGTTTGAACCACTCCTCGCCAGCATCCTGCACAGCGGCCTCGACCGCCGCCTCGCCATCCATCGCCACGGAAGCATCAAAAGGTGCATTCTGAACCGGCGGACTCGCAGGCGAGATCGGACTCGCAGGCGAAGTCTGACTGCTCGTTCCGCTTTTCCCTCCCCACTGTTCCGCAACCACCCCCCACTCTCTCGACGGGCTTGACGATTTTGACGACGTTGACGAGTGTGACGATGACCCGTTGTCCTGCTCTGGCGCTTCAGACCTTGCGCTGCTGTTGAACATGTCGGCCATGCCCACACCCGCAGGAGCGTCCGGCACGTGCGCGGCCTTCGCCAGCTTCGAGCCAGCTTCGAGCCAGCTCTTCGCCTGCTTCTCGAAGTTGTCATCAAACTGGTCATTCTCGCTGGTTGCGAAGTCGTCCCTCAGGTACTCGTGGATGGTCTCCTCGACCTTGGTGGCGTTGCTCCTGAAGTCCTCGTCGCTGAGCATGACCATGGCCCAAGCGCTGCGACACTGGGCGCCGTACGTCTTGTACACGGTCCAGTAGATGAGGAACATCATGACGGAGAAAATGCCGAGCTTCTGGCAGTTGGGCGGCCCGGGCAGACCGCAGACTGACGAGCTCAGCGAGATCGCAAGAACGATTATCACGGGGCTGGAGAAGAGCAGCGGTCGGAAGAGGTCGTGGTTCACCCAAAAGTAGGCGCCAATCAACACGAGCCATAGTAGCGCGGAACTCAGCCACTGGCAGGGGCCCGTGGTGCACTGTTGCTCGTCAAAGAAACGCCTCCTCGCCTTGGGGCAGCAGCCCCCCTGGCGGCGGCCTCGCGCTGATGCGGGAGCTGGGCAGCAGGCCCCCTCTTCTGAGGTGACGCTGCTGCCCCGCGGTGGCGGCCCGCCCTTCTGGTAGTCCCCTGCCTGCTGCATGCGAAACGCGCGGCGGCAGCGGAGAGCAGCGCCAGCGCCGTGGCGGGCGGAGGCCGACGAGCCTGCCGGGGCGCGCTGCTGGACTTTGGCACGGGCGGGGCTGCGGCGGGGCCCCTGTCAAGGAAGGAACTCGCGATACAGATCGGCGGGACTCGCGAGCCGCATCGGCTTGAGCCCAAATGGCTAAGGACGGTACGCCTGCATGCGTCGGCAGCAAGAGCATGCCCCGAGCATTTTCGAAGCGCTGGGTGGGAGCATTCCTCGCCCGGTGTCGTCGAAAGTGTCATGCTTGCTTCCGTTGCCAGGCGCCAGGCCGTGATGATTGACTAGCACAAGGACGAACGTCCCCCTCGTCCGCTTCAGTCAATGCGAGCGCTGCTGAAACGGATTTGGTCATCCGTCCGATGAGGGGCACCCCGATGGCCAAGTGGAGCCAGGGAATCAAGCCAGGCAACAGTCAGGAAGCTACACTCGGATCTAGCAATACGTACAAATGAACAGGCACTTGTGGCTCTCGCAAGGCGCCGCACCTCCCTCTGAGCAAAGGGAGGGAGCGTGAGGAAGACGGGTGGTGCAACGATGTGCACTGAATGGTTGCCAGCGTCACGACGGATTTGCAAGCTGTGTTATGGAAGCTACGTGGTGCGAGCCATGTGGCGCAATCTATGTAACGCAAGATTTGTTGCTTCCGTCTTTTCACAAACCCGTGTTCACTGCCCACAGGCTTGCGGCACCGGGCTCCTGCAAGTGCCGAAAATGTGACTCGGCTTTCCGCCAAGTCACGGCCTCCAGAAGCCAGGAGGCCTCGGCGCGAGAAACTCTCGACTGCCGCACGGAGCGAAAGACACTGCCCTCCACAAACCTGTGGGCCCCTTTCACCAGGCGGGCCCAAACCTGCAAAACTTCACCCCTCGCGCACCTCACCCCAGGGGCTGCCTTGTGGTTGGGTGCAGCCCCGAGAAGATGCACTCAGCGCGGCCCTTCCGCCGCCTGTTGGCCGTGGGCTGCACCGGCCATCTTGGGCACGCTCGCCCCAGCCCGTCCGTCTTCCTCCTGGCGCAGGCACCACAGGTGACGCACACGAGGTAGCCGTGCGCATTCCTCACCGAATGGAGCTTCTCCGCAGCCTTGTCGCCACACGCCAGGGTAGTCGGCCTGTGCGGCGCTCTCACGGGCCACGGCTACACTCCGACCGCCAGCTCCAGCCCAGGCTCAGAGGCACAATCCCCTGCCACCTCGATCTCCTCTGGCACTGCGCCTGCCGGGCCGTCCGCGGCACTGCGCGCGCGCCCAGCGCGGGGGCCTCCTCGCACGCGGCTGCCGCTGCCTGCCCTGCGCCACGAAGCGCCTGGGCGGGCCTCTTCCTCGGCAGACCCCGCCAAGGCTGCATCTCCGCCGCTTGCGAAGCGATCCTGGCGCCTCCTCATGCCCATGCGGCCGCAAGCCCCCCGCTGCCCCAGCGGCCGCCGCTGCGGCGGCTGTCGCCACGAGGGCCACGCCGACGGAGAGCTCCGTGTGATCCCTCGCTGGGCTGACGCTGCCGCGCCCTCCCCCTCAGCAGGCCCCGTCGGCCCGCCAGCGTCGCCCCTCAGCCTTTCGAGCTCGCAAAAATCGACTCGCACCTGGTCCACTTCTTGTCTCGTGACACCCATCGTGTTGCCAGGCGACAGCCATATGCGATCTTCGCCTGTCCCAGCCTCCCCCGGCGCGGCGGTGCCCCCACCCTCTTCCTCTTGACCTCCTTGGGCGGCCTGCTCGCTGGGCGGTGGCCAGGAGTCGTCCATGGCCGCGCCGCCCTTTGGAGCTGACTCGGAGGGTCGAGGCAGTGCTGCAGCGCCCCTGGTACGCTTGGCCGCACCCGCCCTCGGCCCTGGCTGCTGCTCACCGAACTCCGCCTTTCCCTCTCTGCTGCCGCTGGCGGCAAGCCCTCGAAGAAGGCGGCGAAATCGCCGCCGTTGAGCAACTCCGAAACGAAAGGCTCGCATTCCTCGGCCCAGGCCTGCTCCGCACCCACCGTGTGCCACGACGCCAGCTGGCGCGTGCGCCGTCTGCGCGGCCCCAGCGCGCGCTCCGCCTCCAACGTATGGGGCCCGTCACGCGCTCGCGCCCTGCAGCTCCGCCCCTGGCCGCCAGGCGCGTCTGACCTGCTGCGGCCTCGGGCTCCTGGCCCTCCCGAGCTGTGGCGGCGCATGGTTCCTGGCCCTTCCGAACTGCGACGACGCCGCCCTGACCTCCTCGGGCCGCGGCGGCGCTGCTGCCCGGACCTCATCGAACCTCGACGCAGCTGAATTCCCGGCCATCTCGATCTGCCCCGTTCAAGTGCTCGAGCCGCGCCTCGGCACTGCCTTCCTGCCCCCCCCTTTGCCATCGCTATGAGGTGGGCCACCTTATCGCTGCAGGCCCTCGCCCTGCCGCCAGCCGAGCTGCCATCCTGCTGGACGCTCGCCGCTCACACTGCCCCAGTACCCTGCCTAGGACGACGACGTCTCCTGCCCCCCTCTGGTCGCCCTGCCTCCTCCAGGGCTTTGCCGCGCAAGGGCTGCGGTAGAGGTGCCTCATAGAGATCTCAGGGCCCTCCGTGTAGGCCTGTCTCCCGCACGCTCGACGCCTGCTGCCTTTGCCCGTGGCCCCCAGGTCGCGTGGCGCCAGGTCCAGCGGCAACGCTTGGCAGGCGCATCGCTGCCGCCGTAGCCGTTCTGGCGGCCGCTCCTCGGCGTCGCCCCAGACCTCGACCTGCTCGCGTCACTGGCCGAAGTTGCGCAGGGCTCGCGCGACCTGCTCTCTGGCCTCCCAGGCCGCCTGCCCACGCCCAAAGCGAGGGCCTCCTCCGGCGGCCAGCTTGCCAATATGGTCCACCTCGCGGTTGCCTCGAACTGCGCGCCGCTCCACTGCCTCCAAGGCCGCGATCGCCTCCTGGCTGCGATGGGCCCTGCGTTGCGCAGCACGCCCCACGGACAAGCCGCAGCCCCCCATGACTCACCATCATGCGCCACACATCTGCGCGGGCGGACCCGCTTACCGCTGCAGCGCCGCGCCCTTCCCCTGTGCATTTCCTGCGCAATCGCCGGGTGATCCGCGTAGACCGAGAAAGGCTCCTCCGCGCCCATCACCTCCGTCCTGGTGCCGCACTGCCTGCAGGAAGGCCCGCAGCTCCGCGCGCTCGATGGCGCGCTGGGCGGGCGTGGTCACTGGCGGAGCGCCCCGCGCACGGGTGCGCGCCTGCCCGTCGGGGCCCGCCGACGCGGTCGCCCATCCCGTCTGCCCCCGCAGGTGGCGCCCCAGCTTCGAGCCGTCACAAACGATTGGACCCTCAAGCACCTCGCCCTGCTGAGGCCCTCCGCCCGGTTGCCCTGCGGCCTCGCTTTCTGGCGCGAACTGCCGGCAGATCTTCCACCGCCTGGAAGGGGGAGGTCTCGCCCAAAGCAAGCCGTCGGCTTGGCTGGCTGCCGCGTGCCGCCACTTCCTGGGTGCCTCGAACCGCCTCGCGATAGCCGCCTCGCATTCGTAGTGCCGATGGCGCGGCGCGCGGACAGCCTTGCCGCATGCCTGGCACAGCGGCGAGTCGGCCCTGCCTATCTTGTAGAGCTCCCCCTGCGTCCACGGCACGCGACGCACCGCCCGACGTGCCGCTCTGGCCGCGTGCTCGCCCCGCTCGCCGGTGGGATTCTTCCTCGGCTTGGCCGCGACGGGAGCCAGCGGCGGCCGCGGCGCTACCTGGGCCAGGTCGGGCTCCGAGGCGAAGTGGGCCCAGCGCTCGCACCCCGAGCCCTTCTTGATTGAACATCGCCCAGACATCCATCGGGCACCTCCGCCAACCTCACCTCGAGCCCAACACGCGCGCGGTGGTGTTTCGCGCAGGCCAGGCCCGGCCCGCGCGCTGAAGCGACTTCGCGCAAGCACCCGCTGACCCGCGCACAGCCGCCCAACCGCCTCCCATGCCGATTTCTCTCCGCTGCCTGCGCCGCGCCTGGGCGAGCACCGCCGGCCTGAAGGGCCGCTCCCACAGCGCCGTGGCCCACTCCGCCACTGGCGCAGCCGACGCCACGTGGAGTCGCCGTTCCTGCCCTCTGCGGCCAGCAGCAGGGCGGGGGAGGCGCCGTCCAGCTTGCTGCGCAGCGACCGCGCTGCGGCCGCCCCAGGCCCCATACATGCAGGACATCTCGATGCCAGCGCGGGACACTGAGGCCACTCCACTCACCATCCTCTTGCCCTGGCCGCGCAGGTTGGGCGGCATCTTGGAGCGGCGCTGCATGCCGCTCATCCCTTGCTTGCGCTTGCCCTTGACAGCTTTCCTGGACATGGGCATGTCCACGCCGAGGTAGACCCCCGCCCCCTGGACCTTGACCCCCTGCCTCGCCATGACTGGCTTGAGTGCGCTGCAGAGCCGTGTCGCGCCGGCCAGCCGCCAGCTATTACCCTCCTTGCCCAGGAAGAAAGCCAGGTCCACACTGGCGAACTGCCCGCGACCTCTGGCGCGTCGTCGACTGGCGCCCTCCGCCCCCCCCCCCCGCTGCTGCGCGCGCATCCGTCAATGTGGAGATTCCAATCGACCCGCGGGCAGTGCGCTGCGAAGAGGTCCATCTCTTCCATGAACAGCATCCCCAGCAAGGCGAACGAGAACATGCTGCCCGCCGCGATGGCCGTTTGCGTCTCTGCTTCGGCCGCGCAGCAGCCCTCGACCGCCAGGGCGCAGGCCATGGTGAACGCAGACATGACCGCTGCTAGGATGGACGGCGGGAGGCCCCATCGCAGGCCCGCATCCCGCAGTTTGACCAGCGGCACCTTCTCGAAGGCTTTTGAGCAGGTCCATGATGGCAGTGACGACGGCCTCGAGATCAGGGTCGCCCGAACGCGGGTCCACAGCCTCATGTGCGACAAGGACCTCCCGCGCAGCCTACTCAGGCCCTCGCCCACGCGCAGCGCGGCCCTACTCTCGCGGGTGGTCACACCACCACTGCCGCAAGTAGAGCGCCCGCAACTATCCCCAGGCTCTTACCAACGTGGACATCGGCCCGATGGTCCTGCCCTTGGTGGCCGACTTGGGGATGATGAAGACCACTATGCGGTCCGCCTGGCGCGGCCATGCCAAGGTGCGCTCCGTCTCCTCCAGCGCGCCGAGCACGGCCTGGACGTCGCCGTCTGATGCCCCGTCCAGCAGAGAAGGGTGCCAGCTGTCCACCCCCACCCCGTCCGCTTCTTGAAGCGCTTGGCCAAGCCTCGCAGCGCTGCTGGCTCCAGAGGCAGGAGGGCCCCCCGCTGGGTTGTGAGCCATGGCCGCGGCCCCTGCTGCACTGGCTGGTCCGCCTGCCAGACGCGCGCCCGCTCCGCCAGTGCAGCTGCCGCCACCTGCTCTGGCATCGCTGACACGGCTGGGGCGGTCGCTCGCCTCGGCCGCCACGCACGGGCAGGCTTGCCGCAGCGGTGCAGTAGCCCAGCGGCGCCTTCTGCAGCCTTCGCCAGCTTGTCGCGCCAGGAGGCAGCTCGCTCGGCCCCGGCCGCCGCCTCGGCCGCGTCGCGCCTGCCTCTGTGGCCCATTGCT